GCTCTTCTCACCATGATAGCAAAGAGCAGGGCACCTGCTAGTGGGGGCTGCTGCTGAGCCCCGGGAGCCGAGCACACGGGTCTCCGGCAAACCAGCTCCGGTTTCCCTCCGCACGCTCCCGGCACGACCTGGTGCACGCGCACTGCACTGTGCCCGCGGCCACGCTGAAGGGACTCCTTGTTTCATGGCCCCCCTTCTCCCGCTGACAGGACCCTTGCAGCGGGTGGGGGTCATTGCTCAGCCCCCTTCCCTCCCCCGCAGAAGCATGCTGCTCAGGCTGGGGAGCCCCAGGGGAAATCCTCCCATCCGTCCCTGAGATCAGCAGCTGTTGAGTTGCCTCAGCTCTCAAACTCATCTCCCACCTGTCGCCCTCCCCACCTTCCCCCTCCCACTATTTTGCTTAGCTGCCATATGAGGAACGCCAAGCGCTGCTCAGGAGCAGCCGCAGTCCCCGGGCCGTCCGTGCGAGCAGGGGGTGCCGGCGGTGGGCTCCGAGGCACGGACAGACCTCGGCACGGGCAGCAGGAAGGCTGCTGACAAACCGCTCCATGTTAGCGGTTATGTCCAGGGAGACAAGACCTTAGGGAGCAAAATGTCCTAAACTGGGAAAAGATCATAAAAGACAGCCTGCAGCTGCTCTTTATCACCCTCACATCTCAAGCCAAGGTGCCTACCAGCTCCAGTGCTCAAAGGATAACTTTCCTGCCCACAAGCTGCGTTACAGATGTGCTGGTGGGGGTTGGTGGGTCCCCGTCACTCAGCGAGGCCCTCCCCAACCTATGTGTGTGGAGATCTCCAGGGAAACAGCCCCACATCCCTGAGTGCAGGATTTTTCCCTGTGGTCTTTTGGCTGTAGCACACAAAGAGCAATAAAGGTCAAACAGCAGTTCTCAGTTTGGCTTCTGATTTTTCATGTAATTTCTTGTTGCTGAAAGATGCCTGGCCGGCACCCTGTGGGAAGGGAAGACTTTCTAACCTGTGGCTTGGGTACTGGTTGTCCCTTGTTGGGGCATGAGACACTCTTCTTACCGATGCAGAGCTCTCACAGCTGCATCTGCTCTTTTTCCTCCGACCCAGGAGATGCTCCGCTGCAGTCATCATGCCCGAGGTCGATGAGTGCTGCCAGTCCCCACCCGGCACACTGCACTGGACAGGGAACCGGGCAGGGCCGGCACCAGGATCGCCTTTGTTGCCCTGCCCAGGAAAGCGAGGGGTGAACCATGCCAAAGCCCTGGGATGCTCTCCTTACAGATGAAATAGCCCCAGCCCACAGCAGAGGTGGGCTAGCAGCGAGCAGTCTCCCACTAACCCATTCAGCTGGAGGCAGAGGCCGAGCTCCGAGCAGCATCAGCATCTGCGGGCACGGGGCAGGGAAACACACAGCTCGCCTTGTGCATAAACCTGCCTCTTGCCTGCCTGGCACTAGAGACCACCCTGACCGCAGCCTGCTCACAACTAATCAGAAACACTCCAGACTCATGGCCAAGTCTGTAAAAGCTCTCAAACTCCGAACACCCAAACACAAGTTCAAAAGTCGTTATGGAAATCAGACCCAGGCAGCGAGCAGCACAGTCAGAGATCATCACCCCCACCACAGATTCCTGGTACGGCAGCAGCACCCAGAGCCCCAGGTTACCAGTGACACCACACAGCCTTGTCTGCACAGGCAGCTCACCGCCTGTGCTGTTTCTCTGGCTGACTATACCCCATCCAAAAACACCAAGACGGCCTTCTCCAGTTAAGTGAGTTAGAAGGCTAACTTCCCCTTCAGGAGAGATGAGATTGAGTATCAATTTCAGCGCATCTCAAAAACAAAAGGCATCAGAAGCACACCTAAATAGCTGTCTCATGAAAGACAGACTTTTCTTATCTACATACTTCTCCATCCCCAAAAGACACAGCTGATGCCTTGCTCGAAAAGTCAATGAATTCTTAATGCTATTTGCTCGAGGGAACTCCTATGAATATTTGGTGATAGCCCCGTCTTGCAGGTTCGGGCCGAGGTTTTGTGCTGTCGATGAACAGCACGGTGCGCGTTGTGCCACAGATGTGGCGCGGGCTCCCGGGGAGCAGAGACGCGCCAGCACCGCCGGTGCTGCACGCTGCAACGCTGCTCAAGACCTGCGCTGAGGTGCCGGTTACAATTCCCTGAGGTCGGGCTCCTTTTACAGCCTGGCACCTTGCAACCACTCAGCTGATGCGAAAACTGGGGCTTGGCTTTTGGGGGGGATTTTTTTCCTCCAGGCCCCCTATCTCATTTAGCAACCAGGCCAGAAAGCTGAGAGGCAATGGACAAGGCTGCAAATATTCCCCAAATCACAATTGTGGCTCAGCGGCCGACCCTTTTCTGGTGGTAGCTGGGCTGTACCTGGTGGCACTGGAGCATCTCCTCAGTCCACGGAGGACTGCAGATGGTGCTGGAGGACCAGAGAGCACCGGTGGGAAACGTGAGGCAAGAGCCGAGGCGTGCAGAAACCAACCTGAGCATCCTTTGCTGACAGCTGCCCCGTCCTGGGGCTCAGCGCAGAGGATGGACGCACCCAGGCCTCTCCTCCCTGCTGCCCAGCATCATCCCGAGGTCACCGCAGGACCAGTTCTGGTCATCTCCCCTCCGAGCATCCCATGCCCTGGGGCTGTCCGAAAGCAGACCTTTACAAAAGTTAAATGAAGACGCAGGCTGTAACCACAGCCAGCAACATGCAAACATCTTCGCTGCGAGCAACAAAGCATCATGAGCAAGTATCGGTCTGTGCAAGGAAAACGATAAAAGAGAGCAAATTCTAAAAAGATACATCAGTAGCAGCTAACAAATAGGACACATCAATCAGTCTATACTACTCCGCTACTCTGAGTCACACTCACTTTTTTCTTCTAAAACTCATTAAAAGAAGATCAATATTTCTATCAAATCTGCTTGCCTGAGATAAGAAAATAGTGACTAAAATGAGAGAGCTTTCAAAATTAAACATCGACAGACAGATGTAAAAGGTAGGAAAGAGAAGAGCAGTGTAACTTTTTCCTCCGTTTTCATCATTTTTCTGTGGTTCTTTAGAAAAATAAAATAAAAAAGAAGCAGTAGTGATTAGACACTGACAACTGCTGAAATGCCCATGTGTGACATGAATACCTGACAGGTGGCAGAGATGCTATGAAGCATAAGACATTTCCTTTGTCATTTTTCCGACTTATTCCCATTGAAACAGATTTCCCTTTCCCTTCTGACAGCAGTGAGCCGAGCACAGCTGCAGAGCAACAAGCCAGATGTTAGCTCACGTCGCTGTAACACCAAAGCTGGTAAAGTCATGGCTATGCACAGCGACGTGAAGATCTGGCCCACAGTTTGTCAAATGACATATTTTGAACTTGTGCAATAACAAGCAAAGATTCTCTCCAGTTATTCAGTCAGGTCTGCTGAGATTAGCAAGAAAGGATCACTTATTGGCACATAAAATCGCATCTTGAACATCTGACCCTGCTGCATTCTGCTCCAAACTCAACCAGA